CAAAAGAACAGAAATCATAACAGTCTCTCAGACCATAGTGCAATCAAGTTAGAACTCAGAATTCAGAAATGAACTCAGAACCGCACAGCTTCATCAAAACTGAACAACTGGCTCTTGAATGTTGACTGGATAAACAATGAAATGAAGGTAGAAATAAAGAAGTTCTTCGAAACCAGCAAGAACGAAGACAGGACATACCAGAATCTCTGGGACACATTTAAAGCAGTGTCTAGAAGAAAATATATTGTAATAAATGCCCATATGAGAAGCAAGAAAAGATCTAAAATCGACACTCTATCATCAAAATTGAAAGAACTAGAGGAGCAAGATCAAAAAAATTCAAAACCTAGCAGAAGACAAGAAATAACTAAGATCAGAGCAGAACTGAAGGAGATAGAGACACAAAAAACCCTTCAAATAATAAAAAGATCCAGGAGCTGGTTTTTCGAAAAGATAAAAAAATAGACCACTAGCCAGATTAATAAAAAAGAAAAGAGAGAATAATCAAATAGATGCAATAAAAAATGATAAAGGGGATATCACCACAGATTCCACAGAAATACTAACCATCATCAGAGATTATTACAAACAACTCTATGCACATAAACTAGTAAACCTGAAAGAAATGGAAAAATTCCTGGACCCTTGCATCCTCCCAAGCCTAAACCAGGAAGAAGTCAAAACCCTGAATAGACCAATAACAAGTTCTGAAGTTGAAGTAGCAAATAGCCTACCACCCAAAAAAAAGCCCAGGTCCAGATGGGTTCACAACTGAATTCTACCAGACATACAAAGAGGAGCTGGTACCATTCCTTCTGAATCTATTCCAAACAATCCAGAAAGAGGAAATCCTTCCCAAATCATTTTATGAGACCAACATCATCCTGATACCAAAACCTGGCAGAGACTCAGCAAGAAAAGAAAACTTCAGGCCAATATCCATGATAAACATAGATGCAAAAATCTTCAATAAAATACTAGCAAACCAATTGCAACAGAACATCAAAAAGCTTATCCATCATGATTGAGGAGGCTTCATCTTGGGGATGCAAGGCTGGTTCAACATACACAAGTCTATAAATGTAATTGATCACATAAACAGAACCAAAGACAAAAACCACATGATTATCTTAATAGATGCAGAGAAGGCCTTTGACAAAATTCAACAGCCCATCATGCTAAAAACTCTCAATAAACTAGGTATTCATGGAACATATCATAAAATGATAAAAGCTATATATGACAAACCTACAGCCAGTATCATACTGAACAGGCAAAAGCTGGAAGAATTTCCTTTGAAATCAGGCACTAGACAAGGATGCCCTCTCTCACCACTCCTATTCAATATAGTATTGAAAGTTCTAGCTAGAGCAATCAGGCAAGAAAAAGAAATAAAGGATATTCAATTAGGAAAGGAGGAAGTCAAACAGTCTCTATTTGCAGATGACATGATTGTATATCTAGAAGACCCCATCGTCTCAGCCCAAAATCTTCTCAAACTGATAAGCAACTTCAGCAGAGTCTCAAGATACAAAATCAATGCGAATAAATCACAAGCATTCCTATACACCAATAACAAACAGCCAAATCATGAGCAAATTCCCATTCACAATTGCTACAAAGAGAATAAAATACTTAGGAATACAACTAACAAAGGATGTAAAGGACCTCTTCAAGGAAAACTACAGACCACTGCTCAAGGAAATAAGAGAAGACACAAACAGAGGGAAAAACATTCCATGCTTATGGTTAGGAAGAATCAATATTGTGAAAATGGCCATACTGCCCAAAGTATTTATAGATTCAATACTATCCCTATCAAGCTGCCACTGACCTTCTTCATAGAACTGGAAAAAAACCACCTTAAACTTCATATGGAACCAAAAGAGAGCCTGCATAGCCAAGACTAATCCTAAGCAAAAAGAACAAAGCTGGAGGCATCACGCTATCTGACTTCAAAGTATACTATGAGGCTACAGTAATCAAAACAGCATGGTACTGGTACCAAAACAGACATATAGACCAAAGGAACAGAACAGAGGCCTTGAGGGAAACCCCACACATATACAACCATCTGATCTTTGACAAACCGGACAAAAACAAGCAATGGGGAAAGGATTCCCTGTTTAATAAATGGTGCTGGGGAAACTGGCAAGCCTTGTGCAGAAAGCAGAAACTAGACCTCTTCCTGATACCTTACACTAAACTTAACTCCAGATGGATTAAAGACTTAAACATAAAACCTACCACCATAAGAACGCTAGAAGAAAACCTAGGCAAATACCATTCAGGACATAGGCATATGCAAGGACTTCATGACCAAAACACCAAAAGCAACGGCAACAAAAGCCAAAATAGACAAATGGGATCTAATCAAACTCCAGAGCTTCTGCACAGCAAAAGAAACAATCAGTAGAGTGAACTGGCAACTAACAGAATGGGGAAAAAAATTTGTAATCTACACATCTGACAAAGGGCTAATATCCAGAATCTATAAAGAACTAAAACAGATTTTCAAGAAAAAAACAAATAGAACCATTCAAAAGTGGACAAAGGATATGAACAGACACTTTTCAAAAGAAGACATTTATGAGGCCAACAAACATATGAATAAATGTTCATCATCACAGGTCATTAGAGAAATGCAAATCAAAACTACATTGAGATACATTCTCACACCAGTTAGAATGGCGATCATTAAAAAATCTGGAGACAACAGATGCTGGAGAGGATATGAAGAAATGGGAACACTTTTACACTGTTGGTGGGAGTGTAAATTAGTTCAACCATTGTGGAAGACAGTGTGGCGATTCCTCAAGGACCTAGAAACAGAAATTCCATTTGACCCAGCAATGCCATTACTGGGTATATATCCAAAGGATAATAAATCATTCTATTATAAAGACACATGCACATGTATATTCATAGTGGCACTGTTTACAATAGCAAAGACCTGGAATCAACCCAAATGCCCATCGATGTTAGAATCCACAGGGAAAATGTGGCACATATACACCATGGAATACTAGGCAGCCATACAAAAAGATGAGTTTATGTCCTTTGTAGGGACATGCATGAATCGGGAAACAATCATTCTTAGCAAACGAACACAAGAAAGGAAAATCAAACACCGTATGTTCTCACTCATAGGCAGATGTTGAACAATGAGAACACATGGACACAGGGAGGGAAGCAACACACACTGGGGTCTGTTGTGGAGGAATAGGAGAGGGACAGCGCGGGGTAGGGAAGTTGGGGAGGAATAACATGGGGAGAAATGCCAGTTATAGGTGACAGGGGGATGGAGTCAGCAAACCACATTGCCATGTACGTACCAATACAAGAATCCTTCATGTTCTGCACATGTACCCCAGAACCTAAAGTCCAATTATATATATATTTATATATACACACATATATATTTATATATATATATTTTTTTTTAAACAATTGCTTCATATCAAAGTTCAGATAAAGGAGCTTGGGAAAGAGTCTATGCTTGTGGCAAATGTTTCAAATTCTGGTGTTAAAGAGGACACACATAGTTTTCTCTCATGAATGAGAAAACACTTCAATATCAGCCCTAAAGACTCCATAGCAACTTACACACATTTTCAACCATATGGATCTTTTCTTCTGTTATAAACTATATTTAGCACATATAAAACTTTCGTATTGAAAAGACTTGTAAAGTCTTTTCAGGATTTTTTCTTCAGAGAATATAAAAATTTTAGAAAACAAATGCACTAATGAAATGCACTTAAAAATTAATGTATTAACAATTAAAAGTCTATTTGCTTTGAGCAAAATCATAAAGTTCCTAAATTAATTGATTTTGTATTTTGTCATAACTGAATTTGGCAGATGCATTTCTCTTCTGCAATGTGATATAGCTTCTGGAGAAAAATTAAAATTTTAAGGCTAAATATTAAACAATTTGAAAATTCATATATCACATTAACTTGGTCATCTGGAATTTTATTAATAAAGATATGCAAAAGTATGGTGAGCTGTAGGAATTTTTAAAAGATGATCATAAATATGAAGATCAATAATTCACCAAATAATAATTTTCAAATACTCAAGCCATATAGTTTGTGAACTTACTCAGAAATATACCTCAGAGTTTTATATAAAAGCATAGCTAATGATAATTTTAGAAATAATCCTATTTTTACCTTGATTTTTCTTTACTGGTAGGAAATTACAACCACAAAAAAAGTTTATTATATCACAACAATTTCTTGCCTTTTTTTCCTTTACCTTTTGAATAAAATGAAAATGTTCAAATCACCTTTTATTTGTATACATCCTTATAGAAAAAATAGTAGAGAAGCTTTAAAAAATAGCTATAGCTAAAATGTTATACCTTTCTAATCAATTACAATACAGAATTTTATAATTATAGTATTTCATAGTTGCTCATTATTAGAAATGACTGACTAAAATATTATGACTTTTAAATTTCCAATTTTAGTTACGGCAAATTTCAACACATTTTCAATAATTCTTTTTACCTAATAATGCTTTGGCTTTGCAAAATACAATGGATTAAAACTCATAGTTTTCTGTTATGTATATAACTAAATGTACATATGTATAACTGAGTTTATGTGCTTATATATGTGTATCTATAAGCAGATAAAGCTTATATAAGTATACATACTCAGTTTATATATATATATATATATATATATATATATATATATACACACACAATTTCACAAATACTGTTTGTCTTATGTAATCAAGAGAAATTAAACTCACATTTGGAATATTTTGGCTTACAATGCCAATATCTTTAACAATTTAATAGGAAAGAAAATACTTCTATGACTATACTTAATAGAAAAAAATGCATGAGAGAAATGTACACCATAAAATTGCATTACATTTATTTTCGTTTGCAGTGAAATTTAACCAAATAGAAAAAATCTTAGAAAATTGAACATATTAAAAGACTTAAGTTAAACCAAACAAAAATTTTAAATGTCACTAACCCAAAGCATGCACTGCTCTTCTATGCTTGCTGGAGCTCTTGCTTGTTTTAGCCACACGAACAGCATTTTCTCTGTACTGCAGCTCACAAAAATTTTCAAGAAATTTTGCCATTTCTTCTGTAACAGTATCCAGGTAAGTTTCTTTAATGAATTTCACTGTTGAGAATGGAGCTAAAATTTCACATAGTGTGGTAAAATCCTCTTTTATTATTGAGTATAACTTAAGCAGTGTACTTTGATATCCACGAACTATTATATCTAAATTTGAATCTCTGTTGTAAGAAGGAACGCAGTTCTGCAGAAGATTAGCCAACAGTTTTTTCTGTATGTTTTGGTATTTGATTATAACCTCAGATTCTGGATAAAGAAACAAGAGCTGTTGTAAGCACTGCTTTTTCAATAAACTTTTTTGCTGTAAATTGTTTATTTCATTATGGCTTTGTAATTTGCTCACTAAGAAGCGTCGAAGATGCAGTCTTATATTATCCCATATAGACTTGACATCCACAGAGGAATTATCTTCAACAGAATGAAGAGACATCCTAGAGAGGAAATGGAAAGATGTTCCACTTAGAGTTGATGGGAATGAAACACTGCTGTGGCAGGAGAGGTCCCAAAGTAAATCCAATATCATTTCTTCTTGATTTTGTTCATTCTTCAACAAATTTTCCTAATGAAATTATAACATTAGAAATGTGATTAAGTGTAATAGAAAAAAATGATTTCTATAGTCTCAAGATTTTATTTTTTCACATTTGAAATTTAATCAGTTCAGAATGCTAGCTTTTATGGTCTATTAAACTTTGAATTGTTTATTTCAAACCCAGCTGATTATCTTTTCAGTTAGATTTCTAAACATATAGTTTTTAGCCTTCATTGTTATCCACCCGATATACCCTGAGCTGTATAAAAACTATGGTTTAAAAATTCTAAATATAAATCTATAGTAAAATATTGATTGAAATGTATTCCTAAGACAAAATAAATTCAAGATCATGCCCCTAATTCCTGGTAGACAATTTTCATGCTTAAATGAGTATAATTATTATTATAAAACCCCAAATGAACATATAATACAATGCTTTAAAATCATTCTAGAATATAGATCTTTAAATATAGTATGTGCCTGGGGGTTACTAAGAGGTACCATTCTGAGAAGTAAATTTTAATACATTGAAAGATTTTTTTCATTTAAATTCCTTTTTGAGAACTGTGTTAAGAAAGATTTTACTTTAAAAATAAATCTGAGAATATTTCAATTCTCTCCAAATAAATAAGCCAAAATGAGAAAAAGATACTCTCAGAATCGTTCCCCAAAAGATGATATGAAATTATTCCTTTATACTTTGTGCGCTGGCAGAAAACAATAGTAGATATAATTATGAACAGGGACAAAAACATTACTTTTTTCTTGAACTTTGAATTAGACACACACATTCTCCTTCCAAGCTGACTTTCCTAATTATGTCTATTTCAGCTAATACTGAAATTAGTTTATATTCTGTTGGTAGAAACAAGCTGATTACAAAAGAAGTGAAAGGAAGGTGCAAGTGGCATGTAATCAGGCTGGCTTTGCAATTTCTTATTGACAAAATACCAAAGGTATTATGTGTGATTCAGAATTATGAACAATTCCCAGGCAAATTTCAGGAATTTTCTCATTTATTGTAAGCATTGCAGGGTCTAATGTTCTATTGTAATAAATAATTATACCCAATAATTATACCAGTAAATGATTTTTAAGTATTTATACAAACATTTCCCAGTTTCTTCATAACAATAACTCTTCAGCACATGTATTTAAAAACCCATTTTATACATAAGGACTCAAAAATGAGGCATGCTTCAGTGACTTTTCAAAAGTCACATACAGTAAGGCACAGATTCAAGAATGGATCCCTGGCTTCTTTCTCTTAATCCATGTTCTTTCTGCTACACTTCAGAGAGCCACAAACTACACATGACCTCTGTATAGCTTCTTTCTCTCTCCTCTCCTGCTATTGAGTTATTTTGATACTTCTGGAAAAGAAATGTCCTTAGATAGGACACATCAGCATTACTGTAAATTCTTTAAAGCAAATGAGTCCTATTAGTGCCTCTGCCTTGGTTTTTAAGTCAGGCAATAACTGTAAATATTTGATCAAACAAATAATAGATTACAGAGGTTTAAAACATATGTTTAGTATGATTGCTTAAATTTTGAAAATAACTTTGGTACATCTGCCATAGTGAGGACCTCTGTTTCTTATTTAAATTGCTAGAAAATTAACGAAAAACTTTTCTATGAAAAAAACAGATGTATGAAAAATGCCATCATGACTGACATTTTTTAGCATGTAGAAACTTGATAATAAGGTCATTTAAATCTGGATCTGTTTTAATAATGTGGTTCCTTCCTTAAAATAACATGATCAATTATGTAAAAAAAACTAGGACTGGGACAAGCCTACGGGTCTAATGAATTTGAGCAAAACTAACGTGGCCTTTGCCCTGCAATGAATAGAGAATGACTTACGTGTGACAGATTAAAAGATAATTAAAAGCTTTTGCTTTTAATTAAATGAGAAAGCATTATTACATCAGTATTAATTAAATTCAATACACATGGCTCTTAATAGAAATTAAAGGAATAACTATATCCATATATATTCTTCAAGACTCCACCTTCAAGAGATAATGAGTGAGAAGTTTCCTTAAAAGAATAAGGCTTCCGTCTTCCTTTCTCTTCCTTTTATTACTTTGTAAACATTAAAGAGACATCTGAAATAACAGGCAAAAACTATTTTCATCTGATTCTGTCATCCTAAGCCATCTACAACCTCCAGATATTTTCCACATCTGCCTTAGTCAATGTTTGATGTTTAGACAAAAACAGTGCCTTTTTTCCCCTAAATTAAATTAAAACCATAGCTACAGAAATACTGCTTTCTAACAATTGTGCTGCTTCTCTGGGAATCTGTTTCTGCAATCTAGCCCGTCTTGGAGATACAAGTGTTATAAAATAACTGTTCTTGTTGAAGGTTACAAAAACTTCTCTGGCATAGAGGGTGGTCAGTATCAAGGATGACCAATATAATAATTCTCCATCATTTGGTGGTCTTGCATAAATTGCTACCTGGATTGAAAAGAACTGGGTAAGACTTCAGGTTAGGAATGCAGGGAATAATAGTAAAGGCCACTTAAGAGACACGATCAATGCTTAGTAATGAGCACTGAAAAAAGGAATAGTTGTGAAGGGATATAAAATATAAAGAATATGAACTTCTCTGGGAGACAACTGTGATACACATCAATACATTTTGTGGTATTCATATATATCATACTACAAATCACCCAGGAATCATAATATTTAATCTCCATTTATATAAAATTTTATTTTATTGATAAAATTCATAGCAAAATATTAAAACAAATAGCTCGGTGGATTCTATTGAGAATATAGAAACATAAAATGAAAACACAAACCCTGTAGGTATGGCAGGCTAATATGGTCACTTAAACATTTACATACAGAAATTGAATGAGTTGTATTCCCTGTTTACTCATCTCAATCTATGATAAAACAAAGATTCATTTTACCAGTGTTTTGAGGAATTTTGTCAAATCTCCATGTGGAATGAAAGATGACTTGGATGTACTATAATTATAGTGAGTTAGCCATTCAAAGCAGTCAGTTGGTGTTTGCAGCTGCACACCTGGACATTGTTTGTTAATTTTGGACTGTATCTCTTTAATGCAATGTTCTATGCTATAAAAAAGAAAAGAAAAAGTTATTTTGGCAGGATATAGATAATGGCTTCATCTCATAATATGACAGGCCCTAAAATCTTCATATGTGGTACCTGGTTTTGCACAATTTACAAATTTCATTCATATGATATGAAAATAATTACAAAGAGACTATATATTCATAGTTGAAAACTCGGAGTTCAAATTTTCTGGCAGTAAAAAATGTAATGGAGGAAATATAAAATAGCTACTCAGAGATGAACTAGAAATTCTTTTGCGTTGAAACAAAAATCAAGCATAGATGCAATTCAATAATAGCCCTCTTGATAGGCAGTAGATGAAAGGAAGAGATAAAATACTGAACACTGTAAATATCAGAAATATACATTATCTACTAAGAGGTAAATGACTATATAAATGATGAAAAACTTCAACCAATGGAATAATAAGAAGTCAACAAGTAGTTATAAAGAGCTTATAATTTTAAAAGTCGTAAAATATACAAGCTGTATACACAATGTTATTAGAGCTAAGTACCTTTTCCTGCCATCCAATTCCACTACGAAAAACAGAAACAAAAATTACTAAAAATTGCATTTAAAAACGACTAGTAGGAAATGAAGCAAAGGGTTAACAGCAATTATATTTTGGTGATATAATTGGGTAAGCTTTAAATTTTGCTCTTCCATAGTTTCTAAGTATGTATAAGACGTAAGATAAAATGGTTCATTTACCAAAAAAAGTAAACCAGGAACAGAGAAAAAAATGTTCAGTTGAATCTTGCAATTTAAAACTTCCATTCAAAGTATCCTTAGTGTTGATAAAATAACAGATATACTCTGTTATTTTAATTTCCACATACAATTCTGTGCATTCATGATTATAAATCTTTGTGGGGTAAACTGGTGCCCTTTAGCAGAGTGCCATCTGCGGAGCCACATGGATATGACATATTACTACCACCTGATGGCAGCATATCTAAACTTCAAGAAAGCTTTCAAACAGCTAAATTCCTTTGAAGCTGAAACACCTCACCAAAAATTGACAGCTATGCATTTATCTCTTAATCATATTAAGAAAGATTTGCTACTAAGAGGTAAAGTTAATGGTTTGAAAATGTAACTGCTATTAAAGGTTCCATATGATAGAACCTGGTAGGCTTTAGAAATCAAGTGCTCCTTATTAAAGTAGATGTCATATGAAAGACTCTTTGAAATTCATCAGGTGTGGGTTGCCTATAAAACATACACTGTAAAAGTTTAAGTAATACTTTTCAGGAGAATTCTGAGCATGAGTGAATTCAAACTAAATTACGTTGAAACAAATACATTCTGAGAATCAAAGAGCCTTTTCATGAAAACAAAGAACTGAAATGAAAAACAATACCTCCTTGGGCCACAGGCCGTTCAATTTCCTGATGGGATTGCTGTATTCAGGAATACCAGTTCTACCTTTGACAAGAGATTGGCATGTATTTTCTTAACTTATGTAAGCACTTCTATGGACAGAGAAACACAATGCCTTAAGCATACACCTTGACGCTAGGGATCTTTTATCAAAGGTTTTTATTATAGCATCCTCATGTGTCTCATTCAATGAAACCTAATAGATTACAGCAATGTGAATTGGAAAGGCTCAGAAGTTAGTCTACCTAAATCTGTTTCAATGAGGACTCTGATTATAGGGTAATTTCTAACATCTGAATCTGGGCAGAGGCCAACAACTACAATTTATAAATAGGGTAAAGGCTTCAGAGAGCTAGATATTTTAGTAATTTGTTCAAACACTGACAAAGGGATTGAGTGGTTGCATTTCAGGGGACCTCCCTCATTGATACAAACCAAGACAGATAAACTTTATTTTAAAATCATTTTGTCACAAATTATAAAACATCAGAACCAATTATCTATACCTGATTTTGTTTTTGGTTGGCTATCTTGTTCTCTGCCATTCACCACTGCCTATACATCTTGTTCTAAAAACTCAATCCTCTGAAGTCTAGATATTTCTTGTCCAATTGTGATACAAAATAAATATTTTCAAAATTTATGATAAATGTCAGTTTGGTATGTGATCGACAATTCATCTTCTTATTCAAGGTCAGAATAAATTACAATTTAATTTTCACCATTTAAAAGATAACATTTGCAAAAAAATAAATAAAAGGTAACATTTTATTTTTCACCATTTAAAAGATAACATTTGCAAAAAAATAAATAAAAGGTAACAGTTAAAAATGTTACCTTTCAAATACTATGCATTATTCAGGATTATAAACATAGGTAGTAAAATGTAAGGAAATGCATGGGGATCATCAGCAGCACCGTCTGCCAGAGTGGGAGTGGAAGTGGTATCAAACTGGGGAGAGATATACAGAAAGCTTTAGGTATACTAGTAATGCTTTATTTCTTAAACTAGATGGTGGGCACTGGAGTATTTATCACAGTACTCAATGCCTTTTCATATGTCTCAACATTTCTTAATGAATTTGAACCCCAATGTGCTTTAATTATAATGACTCTGAATTATCCAAGTTAATGATATGTGAAAGTGGATGCATTACTGAGAATCTGTGTATAAATCAATTTATAAAGCATTTTTAAAAACGCAATAAGGAGTATGCTTTTAAAAAAGATATCTATGGCAATTTTCTTATTCAACATTTACTCCTAGATTCCCTGACTGTACAAATTGCTAATTGAAGGTATTATATTTAATATTAGCTGAATGTTAAATATTTGGTAGGCATTGTGATATATACTTGGGAACCCAATGTGAATAAGACATCGTCTGGTCTGTAAAGGAATTGTGTCTAGTGAAAGAGACCTGTAAATAAATAACTACAGTACAGTAAGTCTTGATAATTAGTGTGTACAATGTGCTAAGGGAGTACACAGGACGGAGCCACTATAAGTGCCTGGGGCGTGCGTGTAAAAAGGCTGTTCCTTGTAGAAGAGAAGATTATATGCAAGGATGTTGACTTAAGAATATTAGTAGAATCACTGTACTTAAAATTCCCTAACATCTCACCCCTCAGAATTCAGTACTTGTCATCTAACCTCATTGTTGTCTCACTTCAAAACTATATTTATTTGGAGAATAAGAATATGAATTAATTTTTATGGTCATTACTACATTCATGCATGTATAGATGCATGTGTGTGTGTATATATGCACCATCTTACTTCCAAAAAGACTGAGATATCACACCATTGGACAGATTGCATTAAATAACAATAGCAGTCCAAGAGCTGATTAATATTGAACTGGTACAGTTGGAGATAGAATGAGAAATTAAAAAACAGATGATATTTATAACATAAAATCTTGGAACTTCAGCTTATTATAAAATTTCTTACAAGATTTCAAAAGTATTATCTGGTCACAAAATAGTTAAAAGGAAAAAAATACGTTCCTGATAAAATTACAAGAATTTTTTAAATAAAAAGACTGTAGAAAACACTTATATGTGCTTTAATGGAATGTTAAAATATTCCTAAATTTTTTCTTCAAATTTGTTAGTTTTTTTAATTTATTCCTTCTGAATTTTTTTTTTAATTGTACTTTAAGCTCTGAAGTACATGTGCAGATCTTGCAGGATTATTTCATAGGTACATACATGCCATGGTGGTTTGCTGTCTCCATCCCCGTGTCATCAGGCATTTCTCCCAGGATTATCCCTTCCTAACCTCCCTGCCCCCTGCTGTCCCTCCCCAGTCCCAAGCCCCCAGTATGTGATGTTCCCCTCCCTGTGCCCAAGTTTTCTCATTGTTCAACACCCGTCTATGAGTGAGAACATGTGGTGTTTGATTTTCTGTTCTTGTGTCAGTTTGCTGAGAATGATGGTTTCCAGATTCATCCATGTCCCTATAAAGGACACACATTCATCATTTTTTATGACTGCAGAGTATTCCATGGTGTATATGTGCCACATTTTCCTTATCCAGTCTATCATTGATGGGCATTTGGGTTGATTCCAGGTCTTTGCTATTGTAAACAGTGCCGTAATGAACATACATGTAAATGTGTCTTTATAATAGATTGATTTATAATCCTTTGGGTATACACCTAACACCTAATAATGGGATTGCTGGATCAAATGGAATTTCTATTTCTAGGTCCTTGAGGAATCGCCACACTGTCTTCCACAATGGTTGAACTAATTTACACTCCCACCAACAGTGTAAAAGTGTTCCTCTTTCTCCACATCCTCTCCAGCATCTGTTGTCTCCAGATTTTTTAATGATAGCCATTCTGACTGGCATGAGATGCTATCTCAATGTGGTTTTGATTTGTATTTCTCTATGACCAGTGATGATGAGCATTTTTTCATGTTTGTTGGCCTCATGTATGTCTTCTTTTGTAAAGTGTCTGTTCATATCCTTCGCCCACTTTTGAATGGGTTTGTTTATTTTTTTCTTATAAATCTGTTTTAGTTCTTTGTAGATTCTGGATATTAGCCCTTTGTCAGATGGGTAGATTACAAAATTTTTTTCCCATTCTGTTGGTTGCCAGTTCACTCTGATGATTGCTTCTTTTGCTGTGCAGAAACTCTTAAGTTTAATTAAATCCCATTTGTCTATTTTGGCTTTTGTTGCCATTGCTTTTGGTGTTTTAGTCATGAAGTCCTTGCCTATGCCTATGTCCTGAATGGTACTGCCTAGGTTTTCTTCTGGGTTTTTATGGTCTTAGGTCTTATGTTTAAATATTTAATCCATCTGGAGTTAATTTTAGTGTAAGGTGTCAGGATGGGGTCAAGTTTCTGCTTTCTGCACAAGGCTAGCCAGTTTTCCTAGCACCATTCATTAAACAGGGAATCCTTTCCCCATTGCTTGTTTTTGTCCGGTTTGTCAAAGATCAGATGGTTGTAGATGTGTGGTGTTTCCTTCAAGGCCTCTGTTCTGTTCCTTTGGTCTATATGTCTGTTTTGGTACCAGTACCATGCTGTTTTGATTACTGTAGCCTCATAGTATACTTTGAAGTAAGGTAGCATGATGCCTCCAGCTTTGTTCTTTTGCT